CAGTCAGCTGCACAATCATGAGAGTAAACAACCCATACTCCACAGTGAACTCTGTTGCTAAGCTATAATGTTTGGTAGGTTGGAGGTACTAAATGCATTTTCAACAGATGATATTTTCAGCTTGTGATGGGTTTATCTAGATGCAACACCTTCATATCTCAAATAGCATGTAATGACATTCGTGAATATCCTGGGAATGAATGGATGAGTGAGGAGATTGCTTAAGGCATTGGGTATTCCTGATCTTCATTGCATTCTTCCCACTTTTTCAGAGTTAATTTTCAGAACATTTCTCATATTATTGCTCTCTCCCTTAGAATGTCTATCATCTCTGAACCACTTATAAGAGAAATTTAAACTCCTTCACACAATGTAAGACTTCTCCAATCTCATCCTGCACTTCCTTATAGTCTCGTTGACTTTCCTCAGTATTCTCTCTTCTTAGATATATCACCATTCAAAAATCACCCAATTTTTTTTCACATATCTATGCTTTGGCTCATGCTGGTTATTTTGCCTGGAACGTTGTTCTGTTCTTCTTTTCTGTTTTCCCCAAACTCTGCTTAAATTCATGTTCCTCTAAATTTTAGATTAAAATGTCTCTTTTTCTCTAACATCTGCTCTAGTTCTTCTACTTATTTATTTGTTTGCTTCTTGTGCTGTCATCTTACTCTTTTCATGACATTATTAAGGCATTCCCTCTAGTATTTGTTGGCTCTCATCTTTGTACCCAAAGATTTAGGACATGTCTTTCACATAATTAATACTTAATAAATTACCTCTGAATGAAGAATTTATAGAATGTAGAACTAAGAATGGTTCTCAATATGTGTTCTCAGGTGTCAGACTTCATAATTAATCTTGATTCCAGTGGTATCATAAAGAAAGAGGAAAAGAAGGCTTTAAAGTACTCTAAGGTCTCTTTTTGTTTTTCTGTTTGGCTCAGTACTTGACATTTTCAGCATTAGATGTTCTTTTTCTTAATGACTTTAAGACATTTCATCAGCTAATGCAATTCTGGGGGTTGTGTTCTGTGATTTCAACCAGTTGATGACTGAATGGGGCAAACTCTGAGGGTAGAAGCAGGGTCATCTCTTAGGGTTTATTAGGGCACTGAAATGACAAGTTCAAATCAATACTGTGATACTGTGAAGAAATTAGTTCTCTCAAGAGTACTGATAAACTTCTGCCAGTGACTTTTATCACCCAAGACTCATTATGATTCATTCAATGATCCATTTATTAATTTTTTCCATTCTTTATTTAACTCTGTACCAAGTGAGGGGAGAAACAAACAAACAAAACTTACAAATATATCAGAACATGGGTAGGTTCAGAAGTAAAGGAACCAAGTACCTCTGGCCGTGGAGCATGAAGAGTTTGTGTAGTAGAGCTTTAGGATTAAGTTTCTACTGAAACACAATGATATAGTATATATGTGAATTTTTGGAGTGAGGCCCAAGTCACCAAGGGCATTTTTTTAATGAAAGAAACAAGACATTTCTTTATGTCTTTGGGTATCATCACTTATTTGTAGAGTAAAAAAAAAAAATGTTGAGAAAATAGGGAATACATGCAAGTTTTGCCGATGGGTTTCTTTGGAGAGAGTTTCTGCATGAAGTTATTTTCATTCTTTCTTTCAACTTTAGTGAAGAAGGCTTCCCCTGGGAACACTTAGAGATGTTAAAGTGTTCTCTACATTGGGTGTGTTTGGGGGGGGATAGGGGAAAATGACTGATGCTTGAGAAAGGAAGCAGAATACAGGTTACTTACTGTGCATTCCATGGATTTGTTAGAGCAAAGTAACAGAGCTGTCTGGGAGCTGTTTAATCCTTATCCAAGAGGTCTTCTGCTTTGGAGCAAGTGGATCTCAAAAGTAATGTGTCTGTGGGGTGGAATATCTGGGAGCCTAGAGTTTAAGGGGAGATACTTTCTGCTGTCTAAAGGAAGATATGTATTTCCTATGTCAAGAAGCTGCTGTGGAAATTCCTAATGCATGAGAATTTCCCAGGAGGCAGTCTGTCACCCAGAGCACCCCAGTTCAGATAATAATTGCATCCTTTACAAGATTTGTCTTCTCTCCTGCTATCTAACAGAAGAGGGGAGAGAATTTTACAAAAGCAGGGTGTTCCAAGTATGAAAATGTGGAGGGATAGATTAAAAAAATGACCACATACTTATTCCTGGACTAGGTTTGTTTGCTAACAGTCCCCAGTTGGAGAAGATTTACTGCTAATTAAATGTAGAACTTGAAGATTGTTCACAATTGAACATATTTGTGGATTCAAGGAACTGGAATTCAAAGTAGTTAAAAGATTTTACTGAACATTCATGAATTTTTTTTGCTAATCATTATTTCCTATACAACATAGTGTATATTTGCATTGTGTTACGTACTATAAATGATCTTAAAGATGATTTAATGTATACAGGAAGATATGCATGAATTATATAAAAATACTACATGATGTTGTAGAAGACACTTGAGCATGTAGATTTTCATGGCTACAGGGGTTCTGAACAAATCCTCTGTAGACATCAAGAGAGACTGTGTGAGTTAAAGGGGTCTGAAACTGAGGGAAATCCCAGTGTAACTGGAAATGTCCATTTCATGGCAGGGGAAATATAAAACTTAAAATGGCTGTGAGATATAAGTAAGTGAATAAATAAATAGGTTTGTAAACAAAGAGACAAATAAACACATGTTCCCTTGATTCTGTTCTGGGTCCTGCTTATATAGTATCCATGCCCAGAAGTCTGCCTGTGGGAAGAAGCCCTTCCACCTTGTGGAAGAAGGAACCTCACTCTGTGAAGAGGAGAACCAATCTTTGGGTTCCAAAGTTGAAGAGAGTTTCCATATTGAAGACAGCAGGATTAGGTAAAGATCTGAATACTGATGGCAAGGTCTCCTCCTACCCCCCTTGGTAGAAGTCTTAATGAAGCCCCACACTTAGCTCTCTGATTCCTCTCTCTATGCCTATAAAAGTTCCTGTGAGTTTTTTTTTATGCTTTATTCTTATATAAGAATAGAAATTTATGGATGAAAATCCAAGAAAGTCTCTATTGTGAAAGACAGTGACCAAAGCGAATTAGGAGGAAACAGAATTAGGGAAAAACTGGATGGCTGAAAGGAAAAAGTAATGTAGTTGGTACCTGCAGGAAGAAAGAAGGTGTTTCGAAAGTGAGAACAGAAAAGGAAATTATGAGAATCGGAGAACAATAACAATGAAACAGAGACTGTGGAGATTTAAAATTTATTTTGATTGTAGAAATGAGAATTTTGTAGATAGTTTTGCTAATAAAGTAGGGAATATCACCCAGACAGAGAATAAAGGAGAAAAGGCAAAAGAGAGAGAAAGGTGTCCCAAAAGAATAGTACGAGAAGTTTCACAAAGAGATAAAATGAAAGGGAGAGAACTATCACATAAGTTATTTTTGAAAAATTTCAAGGACTTGAAACATGAAAATTTAGACAGAAATGATACACAAGTGGCTTAGCCCAACAAGACCCAAATACACAGTCTTATCATTCTGAAATGTTGGACTATAGGGGATAAGGAGAAAGTATTAAAAGCTGTCTCAAAAAATACATAGATACAAATGGATTTTTTTTTACCCCTCAGGAAGCTATAGTAGTGCACTTTCCAGAAAAATAAAGGATAAAATCAAGGTAGAAGAAGAAATAGAAGTGAAAAGAATTCCCAGGAGAGTAGGAACAGAATCCCCAGCAGCCACCCTGAATACACTGCCCATCTCTTTCCCATTCTGGCATCAGAACCTTGACTGCTGTAATCAAGCTGTGCTAGGGCTATAAAAATATCTAGAGGATATTTCACAGTTGGAGAATCTACAGAGATTCTCAACATCACTGATTTCATTTTATTAAATGAATATTCTATTGTTGACCACACAGCTAAACATAATATGTAATTGTGCAAACACAACTTATTCTTAGTCAAGAATTGCTTTTCTGTCTTGGGTTGCTTTGCTTTTCATGTTCCTTCTGTTCTGAGGACCACATGGGCTACATCTTAGGTGGTCAGCTCTGTCATGGTATTTTCTGCTTCATGAGGGCAATGAGTTATTTACATTGTGATCTCTTTTACAACAGGGAACCCCCTAGGTTACAATAAATCTGCCAGACACAAAAAATTAGATGGTCGGGGACCTTTCCATATTTATCATCCATCTCTCACATCCTACAGGTAGATGCAAAACTGATCACTTTTTGCTCTCGCCTTTATCTGGACTGTCCTGACTTCAACCATGACATGGCTAATGAGAAGCTGGTTACTTCTTTCTCATTGGGCTCTGCAAAGACTTAATACCTTAGGGAAGGGAAGGCTGTGATACCCATGAATATGCATATCCTATAATGGGGCTTTCTGTTCAATTATAGGAACAATATGAAATGCATTTAGGAGTTAGAATCCACATACAGTTTTCAATTTCATAGATAATGAAAGCTACTAATGCATCTGGCACTATTAGAAAACTGATGGATTCAAAACTATGTAAAACATAGCATCTGACATCCCTGAATCCTTAGAGAAACTCCAATACACAAATATGAAACAGAATATAAGGCATCAGTATCTAAGTGTGTGGGACTTCATGTACGGCTTAGGAAGGAAGAGACTAATGTCTGTTTCTACTAAAGAATGATGGCTGTGTCCCTATTACAAAACGATATTGATTCTCGCTGGCAGTAAAGCTTGCAGATTGGGAGCCGGCCAGCTGCTGAACTCATGCAGAGAACCATATGTCCAAAGGAGACTGGGTGTGAGTAATGCAGAATCTGTCTGCAGTAAAGCCTTTGTCACAGACAAATATTTTACAGATAATCCCCGGGTTCAAGAGTCATTTTAAATCTTAGTGGATATGAACAAATAGTAGACAAAAATGAATTTCAAATGTCCAAAAGATATTGACTCACAATTTGCCATACAAAATATGATCAGGTACTCCAAGTTTCTACAAAATAAGCCAGGATGACAAACCTTCCTGTGTAATGGGATTGCTTTACTTTTTTTTCCTCCAGGAGTGTATGTTTTGATATGAAGAATGATCCTTCAGATAATAAAGAAATCTTATTTTTTCTTCAGCAGCCCTTGTTGAATGTCAGCTTATGCCTAGAGTATAAAAATTATTAAAAAAAAGAAAGACTTTATTCCATGAGAAGGAAAAATTCATTATTAGAGACTTGAGGTTTTAAAAATGAACCTGAAAGATGTTTGAATATCTCTAACAACCATTAAGACTTTATCTGCCTTAGGGGAAATATTAAAGATTTTCATTCATGTGAAAGATAAATTGCAGACATTTAACTGACACTGCCTAAAGTTAACTTTGGTTTCCACAATCTACTTCAGCGAGTTAAGATGTGAGATTGCTGAGTTTTCTAATTTCTCCAAAGTGGGCGGCAAAGTCTACTTATTACAGATACATGCACCTCACCCATGGTAAGTAGGTTACAGAAAGTTCCTCTGGCTCTGGTTGGACTGGCTTCTGACCTTTAGTTTGTTCATAGGAGAAAAATATCCAGTGGAAGGAAATATTTTTAAAAAATTTGCATAGATGTAGAAAGTTGCAATTTTTCCTTGCGCTTCTGTCTGTAGAGATACCTTAAAATCCTTCTTAAAGTCGAAGAAAACTTATTTTTTTGCCTAATACTACTTTTGTGAGATGCAAATGAGAATCCTGACTCTCTTGCACTTTAGAAATCAAATTTCCATCCTAAACAACAAAGTGAGTTAGATACGGAATAAATACCATTCACCCAGGAATGTGGACCAACTGGTATAAATTCAGATGCCCTCAGAGTCCTCCTTGGAGGCAGAATAATAAATTGCTTGGATACGTACGAATTCATAAAGTGTTTAAGACAGCAGCCCTATATCTTCACTTTCCATATCCCACCTTTCTTTTCTGTATGTTTAAATCAATTTCATTTTTAAAATCCCCAGCCATATTTAAGTTATTTAAATGGACATGAAGATATAAGTTATAACACAGAAGACAACCCTGGAACATAATTTCTACAATGTGAGGAATCCATTCTCTTTTTAATTTCTTTGTATTATAGCTCAGAACACATTCTCATACTTTTATAAAAATAAAATTCTTCACAATTAAGAAAGAGAACTAACTTGCATAAAAATAACTTGCTTGGGGGCTCTGAATGTTTGTCCTGGGTCTGCCCAATCAAGGCAAGGAAGGCTCCATCTTGAGTGCTTCCTGCTGTGCAAAGTCTCTAGAAGCACATAGTCAAGAAGTCCATGTTCAGAGTGGAGCAGTAACCCACCAACCTAGAGGCTTCTGAGAACTCAAAACAAGTCTATCCCAAATACGGGGCTGATGGAAATGGTTGAAAAACACTTGGAAAAAACAATCTCAAGCACTGGGCTTGTGGCTTAGTGGTAGAGAGTTTTCCTAGCATGTGTGAGACACTGGGTTTGATTCTCAGCACCACTTATAAATAAATAAAATAAAGGTCCATTGACAATGAAAAAATAATATTTTAAAAAAGCAGTATATAAATCAGAGTATATATTTCTTAAAAAAACACACACAAGCTATATGCTGAAAAATTTCTAAGCTCAGTTTAATTTCTGCCATCATTTGTGCCAAGTGGCAAATATGAGTCTTAAGTGGAGAAGTGAGAATGCATGTTGCTGGGGCTGGGGATGTGGCTCAAGCGGTAGCGCGCTCGCCTGGCATGCGTGCAGCCCGGGTTCAATCCTAGCACCACATACAAACAAAGATGTTATGTCCACCGAAAACTAAAAAATAAATATTAAAAAAAATTCTCTCTCTTTCTCGCTCTAACACTCTCTCTTAAAAAAAAAAAGAATGCATGTTGCTACGTTAGGGGAAACAAAGTCCTTTATTTTTATAAATAGTTTAAAAGAACATTTTTGCCTGTCCTATCATAAAACTTTGTAAATCTTGTTTCCCAGGTAAACACACTGATTTAATAATAGTAATAATAATAATACATGCAAAGAAGAAATATTTCCCACATGACATTCTATGCTGTTGAGGTTAAGAGAAAAAGAGGGAAAGATTAATTTTCAATATGCAACTGAGAGTTACTCATATGTAAACTGGTAATCAGGGTATAATTGATTATAGTGCAGGTTGTACATCCTTAATCCAAAAATCCCAAATCTAAAATGTTTCAAAGTTCACAACATTTTGAAAGCCAACATCAAGTCACAAGTGAAAAGTCCATAACATAAAACTTTGTTTCATGCAGAAAATTATTTTAAAATATATAATAAAATTATCTTTAGGCTATAGGTATATGGTCTATATAGTTTACTTCTGTGTGTGTGTGTGTGTGTGTGTGTGTGTGTGTGTGCGTGTTTTACTGGGAATTGAATCTTTAGCCTCATAGGTACTAAGCAAATGCTGTAACTCAAACCCCTGGCAATGTATAATGCATATATAAAATGCAAATGAATTTCATATTTAGAGTTGAAACCCATTCCCAAGATATCTCATTATGTATATGCAAATATTACCAAATTTGAAATCAGAATCGTTTCTGGTCCCAAACATTTTGGATAAGGGATATTCAACTTCTAATGTAGCGATATTCGTTTTCTAGAAAAGAATATCGAGGGCAGTGTTTTATCACTAGGATTAAATATGATCCTTGGCTGAAACAAGTCATATTAATTAGGAGTTAAACTTTGTTTTTTTTAATTTTATAATTTTTGTTGAATATCTAACCCAATGAATCTATAGAATATCAGTTCTTTTAATTTCCCATATGGTCTAACAGGTCACATAATTTCTCTTTCATATCTGAAAAATCACCTGGGCACCTACAGCTTCACACTCACCTTGGGACTGTTTTTCTCTGCAGGGGCTTATCCTGGGACTTCTGTCCAGCTCTCCACTTGGAAAAGTTCTATTTTAGTTTACCTACGTCATAGTCACGGAGAACATTCTAGTCTAGGAGCTTCCGAAGAAAATGTATATGGGCAGTACCTTTTTAAAGACCAAAATTTTAAAAATATCATAATTCCACCCACAAATTTGATGAATAATATAGTTTCATATCAAACCCCTGATGGATAGTGACTTTCTATAAATAATGAAAGAATGTCTCCTCTTTTCTTGTTTCAGAAGTTGCTGTTGAGAAGTTGTGTGGGATCCTGGTATGCCATTCTTCTATATGACCTGGAAATTTAAAATTGTTTCCTTTAGTGTTCTGAAATTTCGTTATTCTGTGCTTCAGTGTGAAACTCTCTCATCAGTTGGATTGTGTTCTGGAGACTCGGGTCTATCTAGATGGGAGAAGTTGTCTTCATTTCTTCTCCATTTCTTCTCTGTGCTCTAAAACTGAGTTATTAAACCTCCTGGATTGCTTCTTGAATTATTTCATACTTTCTTTTAATTTTATTCATAAATATATTGCAAAATAAATTTTTATCTTTCCCAACATCTATTGCCATTCTGTTGAAATTACTATTTAAATTTCTTTTTTAAAAAAAAATTCCTGTTGCTGGAATACTACTTATTTTAATGTGATTTTCCTCTTTATTTATTTAGTTTTTGAGGGTACTGGGGATTGAACTCAGGGTCACCAAGACACACCTCTAGCCCTATTTTGTATTTAATTTAGAGACAGGGTCTCACTGAGTTGCTTAGTGCCTTGCTTTTGCTGATGCTGACTTTGAAATCACTATCCACCTGTCTCAGCCTCCCCAGCCACTGAGATTACAGGTATGTGCCACCCTGCTTGGCTTCCTCGTTATTTTAAGGACACAATAATCTGTTTTATATTTCTGAAGGTATTATGTATAATATCATTTAATGCATAATATGATGTAGTTACATAATTTTAATTATAATAATATGTTTTTGGTTAATATTCTCTTTTAAATCTATACTGTGTCTGTTATAAGTTTTTTTTTTTTAAATGTTCTGTAGGTCTTTGTCTTTTATGCTTTCATCTCCCTTGTTCAAATGTTTGTGATCTTTTTGTGCACAAAAACTTTGGTGATCTTATTGAAGAGTGAGACCCTAAAATCTTCATTGCTTAGTAATTTCACTGTAATGTCATGATTTGGATTTTTCCCCCACCTGACAGTATCTATAGAACTCTCTCTGGAGTGATTCAATTTTTGATAAGAGTCTGTTAGTCTCCTGCCAACCAAATGCCTGGTTGCTGGTGCTTTGAGGCAATAGTGGGAAAGAAGACTAAGAATCCCAGTACTTATCAAGACCCTTTTTTTGTCTCCCTTTCCCTCCCACCTCATGCAATGAAAAATGAAAGTTTCCACTGCTGAGGTGTAGAAAATTGCCATTATTTCTAAAGAAAGCTCCTGGAACTTTAGGGTATCTGTGTGACACAAAACAAAGTGTTTATAATCGTGCTTAATACAAAATGATAAATCTTTCAGAGATAATCCATATATAACTATAAAACATTCAATTGTTACTATATAAAAAGGGAATTTTATTGTGAATGTGTTGATCCATGCTCATAATATCAACTGCTTGAGAGGTTATGGCAAAAAAAAATGCTGAATATTTTCTTTGATATAAGGAGAATGATTAATATTGGGGTAGCAAGGGGGAGCATGGGAGGAATAGACAAACTCTAGATAGGCCATAGGAGTGGGAAGAGAGTGGGCAGAATTTTGGAAATGATGATGAACTGTTATAAATACCATTATCCAAAGTACATATATGAAGACACAAATTGGAGTGAATATACTTTGTATACGACCAGAGATATGAAAAATGTGCTCTATATGTGTAATAAGAATTGTAATGCATTCCACTGTCATGTATAAATAAAATAATAATAATAAAAGAAATTTCAGGGAGTGGATGAACAACAACAACAAAAAAGACCCTTTTATCCCTTCTTCCTCTTCAAAGCCAACTGTGCACTGCTGCTGGGGTCAGGGCCTCTTTGTTTCAGTTTCCCTAGAGGATTTTTTTTCTTTTGTTTTTCAGGGACAGGGAAGGACAGTCTCCTTACTCCATAAGCATGTGTAGAGATAAGGACTATATAAGAATCTAATTGCTGTGAAAGGAAAATTCTAGAATTTCCCCACTCCAGCCACTCAACTTCTCTCTGCCTTTAAATATAATTTGTTCTTTCAATTCCAGAGCCTTCCTAGGGTTTAAGCAGATAGTTGAACTGCCTTTTTCTCTTTTGCTTTAGTTTGAATCTCATCTTTGTTAAATGGTTTACTTTTCCTCTACTTTTTTGTATTGTGTTTTAGAGTTATGTATGTCTACTTGTTTCACTGAGGATGGGCTATACATTCCTTTTATGCTTCTTTATGGGGTGATTTTTTTGAGGGAAGGAGCAGAATATTTTCACTCTGTCCTCCCCTGGGTTACATTATTAGGAATAAATGAAATCATGTTTATTATCCATTTTGTTTTTATCATACATAAAATGATAACCCTCATAAGCTTAACTTTCTTTTTTGTGATGGATGTAAGAAAGTTCAGAACCTAATTTTCTAGATCAGTGTGTGGATTGCTTGGTTTACAATGTAAATTTCAATATACATCACTATCATTTTCCCTTCATTAAAATTATGTATACACCATAAACATATAAAATACCCACATGCACTCATGTCTATATATGTGTATATGTTTGTATAAATACACACACAGAGACATCTATTTTATTTTGAATTCTATTTATTTCTGTAAATGAATAAATTCTTATCTGGCTCCCTGAGAGGAAGCAGTTAAGTGAATAAACAGAGGAAGGAAAGAATGAAATAAAGGAACTAACAAAGATAAGAATGAAAAACAATAATAATTTAAGATGAAAGAGAAAATTTTAGCATTCTCATCTACAAGTTGAGATACTGAAGTTACTTTCCAGAGTTATTTTGATATAAACTAATGTGAAAATCTAGCATTTTGTAGGCTCTTAAAAAAATATAAGTCCCCCCTTCTATCCCCAGACACACTCCTTTTTTCTTCACTTCATAGTGTAACTTCCCAATGAAAAGTTAGTAACGATAGGCATGATTAATAATAGCAATAACCATAATAATAATAATGGTGATGGCTGCTTCCACCTTTACGGAGTGCTATTATGTGTCAGAAATCATACTTCATGTTTTAGATAAATTATTTCTAGGACTAAAGGAATAATAACTAAAAGCTCTTAGCACCATTAGTTAATATTTTTCTTTCAAGAATTTATTAATTTTCTTTTAAAATTCCTTTTATCTTTCTCTGGCCCTTTTGTACCTTTAATTGATGGTCTGATAGTACTCCAGACAGGCACTAGACTCACACATTTCTAGCAAATTGCTCTTTGCTGCCCATATTTACCTTCTGCAGGGCCCTTCACCTGACTCTTCTACTTCTCACTAGATTTCATTAGCCCTGGGTGGCCGCCCCAGTCTCCTGGCCTCACACTGACCATGACTCCCAGGGAAGACAAATCATATTTTCAGTTTCCACTGCAAGTTAGCTGGAAACCCATGCATTTTAATCAGGGATTTTAGCTTTATGTTGACAGTGCTGCAAGTTTCTTTCCTTATTTGCCCTTCTAAGATAATATATGTTTGTTTTCCTCTCAGCCAGTGTATCTCTGACCATTTAATTTAGAAAAAGATTGCTTGTTACATGGTTTACTTATATGCGTTTCTGTTGTATCCATTGCAATAATTTATTTTAAATCTTTATTTAAGGCCTTTTGTTAAGGGTTTTCAATGCCCAGGTTTGACTGCCTAATGCCCTCTGTTGATTATCTCTGCTATTAGAAGTCTTTTTTTCTAATCACAGTAAGATGCATATTAATCAGATTTTGTCTTTTCTAACACATCCTATCAAGAGCCCAAAATGGACAGTAATTGCCCATTTGTTCTACTTCTAAAATTAGAACCTAACCACAAATTCTTTTATACTCACTGATATCTATCATAATTTACCAAATGATAATATTCTCAGAAAATATGACATTTTCATTGGTAATAATCATACCTCTTTTTCCCAAATTCTGAATACCAAAATTCTTTGCACAAAATGAATTAGTACTTATAGTGAATGAAGTAGAAAACAATGAGAGGCCCTAGGTGTTCATTTTTCTTTGATAGATCTGTGTTATTTCATACTGACTTGCTCATGGGAAGATGAATGAATCTGACAAACTAAATGACAAAGAGGCTGATAACTGGGTTCTGAATGTTCATTTCTGCACATTCATGTCAATTTAGGAAACTATAAGCACCTCAGAAAACTATATAAATAGATTCTTAACTTGACACTATAGAAGGGAAGAAGAGTGTGATGGGGTCAAGATAGACAGGAAAAATAAAGAGAATATTTATGACATTATTCCTGTGAAGTGAGAAAACTTTAATTGATGGTTTTAAAAATGGAAAAAAATATTGAAATTTATTTTTTAAGAGTGTTTAACTATTTTTACTGTAGTACATTGTAAATTTCCATGATTTTTCATGGAAATTTTTTAACATTAATTTTTAATGTCTTTAACATTAATTTCATATAGCCCTGGTTCTGATGATTTTTGTATTATATAATGAATTAAAAATCTGATACATATATATTTATAAATATAAAAATATATAATATGTATAAAGTTAAAAATCCAAAGTAATCAGAGATCTATAACATTTTAACATTACCAAAGTATAACCATATTTTGATATTACTGATTTAAAATTCTTTTTCTTTTATTCTTCTTCAGTGATATAGTCACTACAAATTATATTTCTTCTAAAGTTTCTGACAACTTCCTCTTTTCCATATTTATTGCTATTGTGCTTTCTATATTCCATATTTGTTATTATTTTGATTATTGCAAATTAGTAAGGTTCACTGAGTTTGAATCTATTATAAAATTTTAGCAATTTATAAATATACCTCTTTTTATTTGTTACAA